TCTTGGTGGCATGAGAAGCATCCTTATGCTTCCTGCTTAGACAAGTGGTGTGTTCTTTGGGTGAGGGTACCGATGCATGCCAAGAGAGGGAAGGCAGAGCAGAGCTGGTTTGGACCTGCTTCTAGTGGTCCTGGCTATAACATTTCTAAGAAAGAGCTAACCTATCATTAGCATTAGCATTTTAATGGAGCACAGAGCTCAGGCTCACAGACCCTGCAGGACCTCTGACTGTTTGCACAGACGATGTTTCACACACCTGTGGGTCTCAGGAAGGCTTGTCATCTTGGGCACAATGTCAGAATCAGAACACCTCTGGGTACTTATGAGGGCCTGCACATTGACAAGTAAGCTTCCTGGACAGCGAGGGACTTGGGAGCAGGAGGAAGAAACCTGAGGAGTCCTCTTTGTGTTGGCACAGGTCCAGTGGACTGACACTGACCCAGAGCTAATGGACTCTGACTGAATGGACCTATCTCTGCCACCAGGCATCTGCATCCCATATACTCACCATCGTGTTTCAGCAGTAGAACATTTTTCTGAAGCTACTGAATGTTGTGAGACAAAAGTCAACCCAGCCTCTCCCCATCTCTTACCTTCCTTATCTCCTCTACTGATTGCTGCATTGCCCATAGTTCCCTAGTCCTGCTATCATAGTAACCCCAAGGTAGTTCATGTCCAGGAGGTGCTACATGCTGTCTGCGTGGTTGAGCAGTGAGCTAATAAGCCTTTCTGGATTTCAGAGCACTAGGTATTGGCACAGGATGCTCAGAAAGCATTGAGACTTTGCCAAAGGCAACGAGCCTACATAGACTTAAGCTTATAGATGTTCGTATATTCAACTTAACATAGCCCAGAAACAGCTTGGCTGTTTTGCTGACAAGGGTAATGCAAAATTGGTGGAAAGCACTAAACTGGCTAGCAGGAAAACTCCAGACTTATCCAGACAGAAGTGGTCTTCAGTTTACATTCTACTTCTTCAGTAATACAATAAATATCAAGTAACTCTTCTGGAACTTGAGATAGAGATCTGTTGCATTTTTCAGTCTTGGCACTAATTCTCTTTATTAAAAACAAAAATTGGGGAAAGAGGGGGACTTGAAACCAGAAAACTTGTCATAGATGGTTCTTCTGTTAGTGTGAAGGAAACTGATAATATCTGTAGTTTGACTTCACGTAGCTTGTGCAAGTGCTTGAATAGCAATAATCCACAGGTTACTCTTTTCTGTGGATTGTAGTCTTCTGATTTTCCCCAAAGTGACTAGAAGCAGAGAACAGTTTATTATTCATTCAGTTTACTTTGCTATAGAGTACATAGCTTACTATTTATTCCTTGAATAGTCTTGCTCATGTGTAGAAAATTCCTTTATATTTTTATATATTATAAATATATTGGAACGCAAAAAGTATTTCTGTGGTTAGTTTATGTCCTCTGCAGGTTTGACCATGACATTTTAAATGAGATCTCAGTGGCCATAGACCACAGAAGGGGCTCACAAGTGAGGGGGATGAGCCCCTCCCCCGCTTCTTTCCTCTGCGGAAAGGCTGCGTGAGCTGCTGACTGGAGTGTGGTGTATCTCAGTTGATGACTGTTTGTAGCTTTTGGATTACATCTATCCCATGAAAATAAGGGTCTGTGGGACTATATTTGTATTCAGCGACAGAGGGCCAAGAGAACTATGCCTGTGAGGCTTTGCTGCCTGAGATGAAGGAGCCCTGGGTAGGTGAGATGGGAGTGAGAGGGAGGAAAAAACAAAATAAAATCATGTGTCTTTCTTTTGCTATAGGGACTAGATGTGGATACTGTTCAGCATTCATTTACCTCATAAGATAATAGATTTGTGTCACCCTTGGATGTGTAATGTCTCCAAAAAGTTCAAGAGGCTGGGGAGGCAGAAGGGGGAGTAGGCTGCAGTGGCTGGGGTGGGCAGCAGAACCGTGACCTGCATGCAGCTGGCAGTAGGCAGCAGTGGCAGTAACTGCTCTGCCAGTCAGTGCTGAGGCCACTGCCTGGAGAAGGGACGCTGATGGAGCCTAAATACTAACTCCCAGCTCACCAGGACACATCCAGTCCAAAATGATAAGCTGGGAGCAGGGTGCAGCTACTAGCTGGGGCAGCTGCCAGTGGCTGTCTTACCAACCATGCAGTGTTGAAAGTCAGATTCGGTCATGATGATTGCCTGGATGGCTATTTCTTCAAAGAGTTAATCAGGTTTTCCAAGTTTATATGTTGTTGCAATTTTCACTCTTCCCTGGCCTCTCTATTTCGGTTAAAAAATGTGTAGTCTAGAGCCCTTTTGTTTAACTCTCAACTTGGGAGCAGGAAAAAGTTACTCATGGCTGAGCTCTCTGCATATAATTTAGTTTCTCTGATCTACGAACAGTGATTTAAACTGGTGCTATTCAGGACATTTGTAGCAAAAGCACCTAGAAGCTGAATTGTCAGGTACAGGTATACTTTCTGTGAATACAAAACCCAAATATGAATGCTATCAAGAACCAGGAACTTCAGTTATTTTGTGTGTACTTCAGTGTTATCTGTGCTGATCATTGTACCCAGCATTTGGTTGTCTTTGTTTTCATTTTCACATGAACACAGTGATGGTGCTTTTAGACTGAGGTATTTCAGGCACTGTGTTACGCAATTTGCTCTTAAACAGCTGAGACATGGGTGCCTATCTGTCTATGACAAGGATTAGTTTATTGCTTATTTAATAGAGATCTTGAAAACTTGTTTATAACTGTTTACATACAATTTTTTCAACAATTCGGATTGCCTAAGGCTAAGACGTTCCCTGTGCTTATGTGCACTGTACAACCCCCATGTGGCCTCAGGCAAATGGAGTGGTTAAAAGATTTATGCACTGTGTGGATAAACAAAATCTGGGAGAATTTCCCTGAGGCTTTGCCTGGATTGGCAAAATGGTGTGATTTTAAAACATGATAGTTAGTACCTGGCATTTCTCATATATGCTGGCTTGATGAGGAAAAATCTGTATGAGACAATCAGGGATTTTAAAGAAGCCCCACTCAGGTATAGTAGATGTTCACAGCTTGCCCTGTCTAGCTAACTTTTTATAATACAGCAACAACTATCACTGAAATATGACCCTTTTTCTTAGCGTAGACATAACCTGGCAAAAAATATCTTGAAGATTTTCAAGAATTTCCCTGACCAGTCCATGCAATGAACATGCTAGACAGATGGAGATTTAGGGAATTTCTCTTTCTGGGTAGGAGGCTGCCAAAATCTTCTGCAGGTTAGGATTCTGCCCTGACCCTTGTGGAGGATTTCCTGGAGGCCAGTATCAGTGGGAACACTTCCACAGGCTGAAAAATTGGAGGACTTCACCTGCAATGTGTTTCCCTTGTTCTGGTTTTGTGTTAAACCCACGAAAGCCTAGAATTTAGTGGAGTGAGAGTAGCCAAAGGATTTGGAAAGCCTTGTTCACTCTCACTCGGCTTGCAAGCAAAGTACAGCGAGCTATATATAGGCTGTGTGTATGCAATGATGATTTCTCTAGGGAAGTGATTGATTTTCTTTCCATATAAACCACTCCCTTGCCGGCTTAGGCAGAAACGAAAGAAAGATGCTGGCTTGGCTTCCAGCACCGGCGAGGAAATTAATTTTAAAACAGCCCCCTCCGTGATACCAGCACCGCCGTCCCCCCCGCACCATCTCGCTCCTGCTTTCTCCAGGGTCAGCTCGGTGGACGCCGACGGTGCCCGGGATGGTCGCGGGGGGGGATTCCCCCATCTCCCGGCGGCGGATCCGGGAGTGGCTGGCAAGGAGCAGGTTTCCCGCTCAGAAGTTGCAGCCGCCCGGCTGTTCCCGGGAGACTGGTCGTCCCAAGGACCCTCCTGCTGCTCGAGGCGGCAGCCCCGGCCCGCGGGTGCCACCCGCTGGAAGGAGCGGACAGGGCCCGGGCCGGAGTGCACCGCGGGTCCCGTCCCTCTGCAGGTCCCCTGAGCCCGGCGTTTCGCCCCCTGCCATCCGCTGCTTCTGGATCGACTCCGTAACTCAGTTATCGCATCCACCTGATCTCAGCGGGACGGTATCGGAACGAGGACCACCCCCAGTTACCTGCGAGGCGTTTCTCGCTGCTGTTCGGCTGCCCCTCACTTCCCACTCTCAGGATTACTCTGCCAGAGCACCTTTTGAGGAGCACCTTGTTGGGACTTTTGCACGTTTTAATGAAAAAACCCCAACCCTTCAAACTTGGTCTTTCCCTCTAGCAAACATCTGACGTTATCTTTTCGTGACGTTCTTTGTCATTCTCGTATGACAAATCAACTATCACCCGTAAATCATTATCTTGCTGTTTCCAAATACACGAAGTATTATTAATTTTAATATTTGCCTTTTCTGTATCAAAACCAGTATACCATTCACATACAGTAACAGGAATATATAGTTTAAATTTTTAAGTGGTTTTGTCCTCTGTCTTGTACCTCTCAGAAACTCTTTTAGGTCTGTTTAGGTCTGTTGGTCAAGACTTCTTTTCCCACTGTGTTTAGCTTTATTTATTACTATTGAATGTCATTAGATTCTTGTCTATATTTGCTACTATCTATTTTCATTTCCTTCTCTTTTATAAATAATACCCTTACTGTCAACAGGTACATCTATTTCCCCTTTGAAGTAGACTCTGCTTGTGTGGTTTTCATCACTTTACCTCCAAGAATATGAAGTGTGAACACTTCCCAGTTCGTCTGATTTAGAAACTAAAGGGGTATGGTGGCGGCATGGTAGTGATTGCCAATTCAGGGAACCAGCTAGGTTTATAATCATTTGTCATATGAGATCCTTCAATCCATGGTTTTAACTTTTTCATAGTACAGTCAAATTAGCTGAAAAAAGAATCCTGATTATGGCATACTGTACTGAATCCTGTAGATTTGATTACAGGGGAAAACTGTTGAGTTTGATGGTGTAATCAGCCACAAACCCTACTTCTGTTCAGGAATCAAAAGGGGTAAGATAAAGGTTGTAAACAGAAGCCTTCAGACCTGTCTTTTGCTGTCCTGTGTTCACATTCTGGAAATCTTCAGTAAGATGAAATGATTTGAGGAGCACCCTGCTGGCCAAAAGCAATCATCTAGCACAAAGTTGTTTTTAACTCAGTGGAACTATTCTTTCCCATTGAAAATGAGTTAGCAAAGAGAGGGAGCAACCTTATTTTTAAGTGAAGAATGTCCCCTTGAAAAGTATAAAAGTGTAGTTATGTCTTTACTTTTACATGTAATTATGCTACCCCTTCTCTTTTCTTTCAGATCTCATGACAGTATTTGCTATCTTCTTATCAAATGTACTGGAAGAGAGTTGCTGATATTTTTCTGTATTAGTTAAAAACCAATTTTGTATTGATGTGAGAGAAACTGACTGAATGACCTATTCTAACCCTTATCTTATTTGAACCAGTCTTAAGATCTGCGAGATCCTATCTCAAGGAGAGAGAGGGCAGCAAGCTAAAATAGCAGAAATTGGCTTCAGAGCTAATAAAGGAAGGTATTTATTCACTCTACTTATATTTCAGCCTTGGAACACATGGTTACTGATAGTTTACATAGGTTCAGAAATGTCTTGGACAGATTTCAAGAAAAGTCTGTTAAAGATCACTACATGCAAAGATTCCACTACAGTCTCATGGAGTATCTGCCTCATGGAACATGCTATGAAAACATTGTACAAACTTACATTTATTTTTACTTTCTGCTGAACAGATGCTACTAGTCTTTTTTGTAGGGAGGATACTGGATTAGATGGAGCTGTGGCCAGATCCAGAACAGCTTTTGCATTGCCTTATATGCACGAATCCAACTGTCTCTAAGGTTGTGTCCCAGTTCCTCTAGACATTGTAATACTACCAAGTTCTACATGTGGCATACATGAAACACCATTGGCAAATTGTCCCATATCAATGTGGCTTTCAGCACATTTGGTCTACACAGAAAAACCTAGGGAAGCAGGTTGTCCTTATTCACTTGTTGCTCCCCCCCTCTTCTCCCTGTTCTCCCTCTCCTCTTCTTGCTCCTTAGGACTCAGCCTTGTGGGTTTTCAAACCTCACTATTCATTTTGCTGCTCATGAGTGAGACAGACTTTCACTTTCTTGGATGCATCACAGCATGGTTTAGTTTCCAGAATTTCAATGTAGGTTTTGAACTGATATCATTAAGGTGCTCTTAATAGGAATCCAATTATTTTTATTGCCCATCAGTGCCCGACACAGGCTGCCCAGAAGCAAACTGCTAGTGTTTAACTCAGATTCAAACCTGATCTGCCAATAGGCCTACAGCCTGAATATTTGAGAGGAACCTATGACTGTATCAGCATCTAATCAACCCGTATATAAAGTTCTGTGGTGCGTATGTACAACAGATCTCAGAAATAGCACTTTCTCCCACAAAATTTGATAGTGCAACTAGGAAAGTTTCTCTGTTCCATGCAGTTGAGTGGAGTTTAGTTTAAGAGACAGAAATAGCACAGTTGTGTGTAAATTAAATGACAATATTTGAAAACAACTCTGAAAGAATGAAGACTAGAAATCTTGTCTAATTAATGTGTAACAATAGTTGATGATCTATTGCCTTTTCTGTGAATATACAGTTTCTATTAGCAATATTTAGATATGTTTTCTCAGAAGTCCATAATTATTTATGTTTAATAATTTATGATTAAACATTTTACAAGAAACAAGGCACTGAAATGTACAGTTAGTCATCCTTATTACATACACTGTGAGTTTCAGACTTACAGTAATTCCCCTCGTTTAGACAATTATTGAGTCTCTTCCCTCAGTGGTACTTTTTGTTGCATTTCCTACATCTCCAGCCATTAGAAAGTATACATTTTAGGGCCCTACTTTTGTCTCCTTTTATTCAATATTTCTGTAGGAAAAACAAAGAATTTGCAATGAAAATTAGCTACACAATAAAGATGATGAAAACTCCATTTCTCACATTTCTAAGGACTCAGACATACTATGAGGTTTTTAGAGATTCAAACTGTAATATGGGAATTCTTTATTAAATAAAAACAACAGCACAAAAAAGATTTGTTTAAAGGTGCAGTTTCAGAAGCTACTTCTGTGCAGGGCAGAACCATATTTGGTGGAGTTTGAGGCACTAAAATACTAAACCAACACTTTACAACAGGTGAGATGACTGGGCTGACACCATGCTAGGAAAATCAGATTAGCCTAGTGGCTGACACTTGGCTAAAAAGGGGATATTAAATAATGTATAGTTTTCAGTGTAATTTAAAAAGTAAACCCCAGAAACTGTTACTAATAAAAGGCAGAGACTACAAGAAATACCATCTAATACTCCATTAACATATTTAGTATCAGAAGGAGTGTATACATTTTCAAGTATCTTATGACAAATAGCCCAGTACTTAAATGTTCATTCTGTTTTAGATCCTCACCAACTATAAGCACAAACACAGCACAATGTAATTTTACATATTGTTAAAATACAACGGAATCTAATGTCACATAATAAATACAACACAGTGTAAAGAAACAGTGGTTTCCTTATTATTTGACCACTTATACAAAAACGACAATGAGGAGTGCCTAGATTCAAGTTTCTCCTTGAGGTTCTCAAGCTCCTGTGCTGCCATCATTTTAGAGGTCCAGTTTTCAGTGCCTCTGCAGTGATCCTGAACCTTCTGAACGCACAAGGAAAGATCTCTTTCAGAGATTTTCAGAGGATCCTCACAGTCTCCTCGACCAAAGCAATTCAGGTGCAATTTCAACACTGATGGAATATACACGCAAAACAGGAAAAGATTCTGCAGGATAAGAAAAAGTGATGATGGAGGAAGAACCTCACAGAACAACCTTAAATAATACCCCATGTCAGTACCAAATTAAAGTGAAAGTTTCTTTTTTCTCTTGGAAAGATAAAACTTCTCAAAACATGGCTAACATGATGTACCACCATAAGATGGTAGTACTAGCAGAGATGGCAATAACACATTTGGAAACATATTATCTCCTAAAGCATTTCCACCTCTTAGGTATTGTAAAAATTATTCTGTTAAACTGCATGATTTTTTGGAAAAGAGAGGTTCTTACTCAGCAACATAAGTCACTCAAATATCCAGGTTTACAACAAATCTTGTAAATACAGGAGTGCTGCTGGATGGTAGTTGGCAGTAAAGCAGCTTATACATCTTGTGGTAGAAAGTTCAAAAATGCAACCACAAAAAGAAAGGCATGATTAGGGCTATGCCTTCTAGTTCTATGGGAAGCAGGGCAGACTAGAATTTCTCTGTATTTGCATTGATGGATTACCAGAACTTTTTTTTTTAGATACTGCTCTAAAATGTCATAACATCTGCATCTTGAGAAGATGAAGATCGGGTCTCGTTATTTAATCCTTGACTCTTCAAAAAAAAAAAAAAAGCTGAAAATACAAATTATTAAAACAAGATTTTTTCATTTGGTTGAATTTATGTATATATCTAAGTGGGGATGGATTAGCCCAGTTGGCTTTACTTTTTTTTTAATTTAAGAATGAGAACTAATTTGATGGAAGTAGTAAAGATTTTACAAGGAAGAAAGGTGAGAGCATACCTGCATGATCACCAACCATATCAGTTAACAAAATCCTTACAGAAAACTGCTTCTGTCAGTTTAACACACTGAAGTTGTGGTAATTTATTGCTCTTGTTAGTTGAACACTGACAGGGCTTATTTTAAGCTGTCACATGACTTGGAAGATTTTAATGTACAACAATTTAAAAAATTAATTGCTTACCACCCAAAGGCATTTTTACAGATCACTAAAGTAACCCACTGCTGTTACTATGTCCTTACTTGTGTTTTAAGCTGTGAGAGGATGTGGGCTTAAGTTTGCTGTGCCGTGGGGCTTGACCCACTCATGTCCGTGCTGTGTGTAAGAGAAGGGCTTAGGTTTAAGCCAGTCTTTTCCTATGTCTGATTTTCCCAGCTCCTTGACAGTGTACTTCTGCTGGATTTACAGAAGTAGAGTTGGTAGCTATGGCATTTGGACCACAGTGAGAGCAGACATCAATACTTATCTACCAAGCCCATGACACCATGTAAAGGAATGTGTTGGCTTCAGTGGGACTGTGGAAGTAAAAATTAGAAGCATGTTATTTATTTATCAGTCTACAAGAGGAGCAAGATTTACCCCAGAAGATGGTGTTTTAATTGGCTGAGATAAAGCACTGTTATGATCATTTATTGATTATACCCCTAAATTTGCCACCTTATCAGTTTACAAAGCACATCAGTGACACGTTAAGCAATGATGTTTGTTCCTGCTGGCTAAAGCCCCTTATTTTTTATTCAAATACATCCACTGTCACTGATTTGGTAATTGGAAAAGATGCCAGACAATTTGAGATTGTAAGCACCTTGTCATAGTTCAACTGGCACCACCACATGGCTAAGTATATCTCAGTAGGAGTATTGCATTCAAGGATAACAGAATAAAATCAGTATGGGAAGCCTTTATATGCTATCAGCCATCAATGAAGTGCAACAAAAAGCCCAGTCTAGCCTCAGAGCCCTCATGCAAGCCAGCAATTGAAAGCAAATTAAGTGCATTTTGGAAATCAATGTTGCTTTATTTGGCAAGGACTTCTCATTACGCCTCACTTTAGATGGAAAGTTGGAGGTAAGGCAATATTTGGGTTGGACATTGTTGCTCCCTAAGCAGAAGTTGAACCTCTCTAATAGGTCAGCACTGATAACTCCTAGCCTGCCAAAATTTATGCCCTGGTTTAAATACTAAATCCACCAAATCACCTCCCTAATTTGTACTTTTCAAAGTCTCAGTATTTACAAGATCTTTTTCAGATAAATGGAAATTATCTTGTATGTGTCAACTCAGATTTCGTACAGTCCATGGGATTGGAATTCAAAAGTTATAAAGCCATGCAGTTCATTGGGTTGAAGGACCGGTCAGTGGGAACACAGAGGTGTCTAATAAAACAAAATAATTTTTAGCAAAGCTTTGGTGAGGTTAATAGGTCAAAA